TTTGAGGATCCAACATTTGGTATAATCCTGTACATTTTGCCAATGTTATGTTGAACACATGGTTCTGATCGTCCTGAATATCCATCATAAAATCTACAATTTAACTATAGTGTCTAATAAAAAGAAATAAAATGATTAATGATACATAACGTGCCGCATTCACTCGCGAGTTCGGTAAGTGTAATACTGACTAATACTGTCCACCTCACTGTTCATTTGAGTCATCTACGGGCATAGAGCTCGTCGACTTAAATTATATTATGTTTGTTGTTTGGGGTTTAAAATATTGACTGTCAAGAAATTATTTAAATATCAACTATTCCTAGTTATTTAACTGTGGATTGTCAGCATTTCCTATAATGTCATGTTCAAAACTGTTAAATTATGCAGCTGCAAATTTTAAATATATGGCTTTTACCTTTTGCGTGAGTATTTTATTATAACGATGAAGGACTGTTGAACTGTAGGTTTTTTTTAAATTTAATTTTTTATATTTAATTAGCTATGACACAATTAATATTAATACACCGGAAACTTGAGAAATAGTATTCTTAGGTCATAAAGTACGTAAATTTACGTCAACATTAAAAATTAAAATGTATTCAGTAATATAGGATCAAATCATTTCTTAAACATTTATAAATAAATAACCAGGATTTTCACAAGTAAAAAGTAGGTTGACCTAACAGTCGTAATATTTTATTTATATTAAGCCAATAATAATAGGTTTAGACTTAAAAAAAAATAAATCAGAAAAAACACCGTTGACAAATTTGAATATCTTTATACTGTTTTAATAATAGTATACTCACTGCAGGGGTTGAAAAAAAATTTCTCGCGTGTCCGGAACAGAAATATTTCACATGCATTAATTATCTAAAAATGTAAAACAAAATATCTATATTATCTATATTACAGACTGTAATATTGTTACGTACCTATCATCTATATCAACGTAGCACACGTTTCTAGTAGTATTTTACAATATAACTAATAAGGTAATTAGTATAACATAATATACTGAGGTCATTACATGAGTGTAGTGAACAAAGTATTAAACAATTAAACTATAAAAATGTTGTCCCACATCTCTCCTCGGGAACGTCTCAATATTCGTACGGAAAGAAGAGAATACCAAGTACGAGATCCAAACTGTAATATAATGTACTGTTTTAATAATGAACTTAGTATACCTACTGGGTCTGTTGCAAAAAGAATAGGCTAGCGTCTCCGGAACAGAAATACTTCACATGCATTTTATCTAAAAATTGAAAACAAAATAATAGCTAGACTGCAATATGATGACTGCATATTATTTTACAAATGATATTCTTTTTAAATATTTTTATATTTTTTTGAGATCGGAAAACAAGTAGGAAACCACCCCTAAAGTATTAACTTTTTGCTGTGAACGTCTTGACACGTGCGTCGGTCGTCGAGTAAACGTCGATGACATTATTTCAATATTTGAAAAAAAAACATAGGAGATTAAACTTTGTCATTTAATTTAAAAATTAAGAGGACGCTACAAATGCAAGTGTTGTCTCCGTCTTCCAAATGTACAACATTGCAAAAACTGTTTTACGATGAATAGAACTGACGAAAGAATTATTTTATTTAAAAAAAAAAATGATTAATATGATAGAACCAGGGGCTCAATAAATTTGGTCAAATCTAGGTACACAAATAGGTAGTAACGAACTAATTTAAAAAATGATTTCATCATTCAGCTGAATCATCAGCGCCCCCAACGTAGTTTTTTTTTAATTAATCGAATTTGGCGAGTGTAATTACTGTCCACTATGCCGTTCATTTGAATTTTCCACGGCTTGTAGAGACACTTGAATTATGTATGAGTGATACAACTAAACACTGCTGAACTGTAGATATATAATTTTAAAAGAGATAATAAATAAATTTTTGTTTAAATACGTAACGTATTATTCATAATAAAATTATAAAGTTTGTATTTTAACTAATTATAATTTTATTCTTATTTTACGATGTTTTTCCGGCCTTCCTCCAGTCTATCCCGGTCTAGAGGCATGTAATATTCGACGTTTGGTAAATCTTCCATGACACACGCCGACAGCCCAAATCTATGCACTTGCATGCTTTTTGCCTCAAACCTTCATATTATATTAGGTAAGAAATAAAACATAATTATATGTTTTTTTATTATTATACATGCAATTGCATGTAATCTTCACATTATTTAAAAATAACTACTTGTAAAGTTGGGTACGTTTAACCCACTTAGGTTAAATATATATATATATTTTTGAGAATTATATTGGGCTCACTGCCCGTAATTAAATAAATAATTAAATAATTAAAGATAGGTAATAATAGTAATATCATACGGCATGTGATCCATTTAAGTGGCAACACTAAATTCGTTTCAACTGGTTTTGTTAAAAAAAAAAAAGGTTTTTCCCAGTCTGTACTACGTATACCTTCTATACACGTCTTATAACAATACGTTTTACTTAAGAGGACGCTACACTGGTCATTTTCAGTGGTAAAAACACGTCCACGGAAAACAAACAAAACACGGGGTAAAACCGATACCGGGGTAAAACCGATATTGCTTATCACGCATTATTTTATGGATGAAAATTATAATTTTTAGATTTATTTCATTTCTTATCACGAAATATGTTGTTATCACTGTTAACATCGACACCAACGTTTTGGTTTGAATTGTTAATTGATAACGAACATTTTAAATCCAATTATTATTATATTTACATATTTTGAATTTAAGATATAGCAATGATAGAACTATACTACAATTATTATACTTGTCTAGTATGAATCTACAACTTGTAAAGACTGTTATGCAATCACTAACTTATTTTTATCTAATAATATTGTATAAGAAATCAACAATTTCGTAAAAATTATGCTTTGGGGCAAAAGCGATTGTTTATTAGTTTTAATAATGCTTAATCGTTGATATCTATCTATTTTGAGTAAGGATTAAGTTCACCTTAGACCTAACTAATAAATACTTATTTTATTAAGTAGCAAACATTTTTAAAAATGGTTCGAAATTATATAAGAAAGTCCAAACGGCAAAATTGGTGTGTTTATAATTTAAGAAATGCAATTAAAGACATTATCTATAATACTTTAAGTTATACAAGAGCTGTCGATGAATACAAAGTGCCATACACTACACTATATGACTATGTTCAAAGAGTGAAGAAAAAAGAAATTCATTTGAGTGATCTCACCTCAAAAAAAAGTATGTTTTAAATAAAAACAATTATTTATTTACTATTGAAATTATATCTAATGGATTTTAAATCATTACCTACTTTGATTTATACCTATGACATTTTTATTAGAAAAATGTATTTTTAAGTTTAGGTAGGTAACAATCTTTTAGGATTTTAAACTTGCTTTAATATTTCATCAATATTTTTCTTGTTCATTTTTTAATTTGTACCTACAGTAGGTAGAATTATTTTCAATGTTACAAAAAAAAAATTACAGATACTTGTATAATACATCTAAATTAATGATACAATACCTAATAATTATTATTATTATTCAGGCATAAAACAATTAGGCAGATTCAAACCAGTCTTTAACGAAAGTCAAGAACTAGAATTAGTAGAATATATTAAGCAAATGGAATGTGGAATGTTTGGCCTAACAATGTTAGATCTAAGGAAACTTGCTTTTGACCTAGCAGAGATAAACAAAATAGACCATAATTTTTGTAAAAAAACTGCAACAGCAGGTAAACCGGAAATTACTATTTTTTATTTTTTTATTATCAAAAAAGGTCCTTACTATTATTTTTATTTTTTATTACTATGAAATAGAATTAAATTGTTATTAAATTATCATAACTGATAGAAAAGTCTAATAGTCTATTATTAGGTAACCTACTTAAAGTGATTTTATTTTGATTAATATTAATTAATGTAATTATCTAAATACCTATGTGTTAGATATTTATTAAATTTAAAACAAATTAATTGAATAATCAAGATTGATTAAATTTGTTGTTAAAATTTGTTTTTATTTTGGTTTCATTGAATTTTAATGAAGTTTTACATTTCTCATAATACATAGGTAATTTATGAAACCTTTATTACTATATTTACAATACTTAAATAAAATGGTTATTTATATTTTGGTTTAGTAAGTTCCTTTGACAAAAAGCTTAATATAATATTTTTTTCCATCATTATTTTAGTACCTATTACACCATGCATCGGTTTGCCCCATTACAAATCGATTTTGCTGTGCAAAATAGATCGAGTTTATTTTAAGATCCTGAATAGAAATGAAGGTATTCGTTTTTTCAGTCGGTTTTGCCCCGTGTTTTGCATAGTTGTGGGTGCGGATGGGTGGAATTTGTATTTTTAATTTCTAAATAAAATAAAATCTTAAATTACATTCGTCTAATCTATACCATCCACACGTCCATTCATAATCCATCCATTATCTATACAAACATCCATCTCTTTCTCACCATTCGTCCGTGCGGACATTGTAGCTAGTGTTTGAAGTATGAGAAATATTTCATGAAATATTTCAAATGAAATATTTAATTTTGAAATATTTCACTAAGTTGTGAAATATTTCACAAAAACGTGAAACATTGAAATTTTTTTTAACACAAATAAAAACACAATTTATTTATTTTTTTGACACAATGCTCAGTGTTCTAAATTCTAATGTCAGAATTCAGTAAGTATACAATATACATGTATAATATTGTATACCTACTTGTATCATTTAAACATTAAAATATTTAAAAATTTTGAATACCAATTTAAATGTATAATACCAAAGGTTAGGTATACATACAGACCATACAGTTACCATATAGTGATGAAGGTAATTTATGACAATTATATGTAAATATAAAACTTATTTAAAAATAAAACAAAATATATTAAAATACTGAAATATTTCACATATTTTGAAATATTTCACGAAATATTTCATTTTTTTAAATTTCATGAAATTTTCAAACACTAATTGTAGCACTCAACCTGCGGTATGCTGGTCACTCCGTTGAAACCACCGGCCACGAAAATCTTGTCGTCGAGTACTTCCACCGCGAAATTGCTCCGTGGGTTGTACATGTCTACCACCCTCGACCAGTGGTTCGTGGTCGGGTCAAACTTCTCGCTGCTGTTCAATCTCTCCACCCACTCATCGCAGCCACCGATCACGTACAGACAGTTGTGGTAGGCTATGCAAGACGCGCCGGCGCGTCCGGTCTGCATGGCTGGTATTAGCGTCCACTCATTAGTGTCCACGTTGTAAGTCTCAGCTGTGTCCATACACTCTCGTCCATTGAACCCGCCGGTAATATATATTTTTCCTGCTCAATCATGTTATAGTTGTATATTATGATGACGATTGTGACAAGCCATCGTCATTATTATTAATTATCATTATTGGGTTCTAGCCGGTAGGCTACAGTGTACAAATTCGTATTGCGTACATTTTTCACCAAAATGTTAGTGAATGAAAAAAATGGTTATTTTTATATTTTAATAATGTTGTATTAGAATATTTTTTGAAAGATTAAAAATTGGTTTGATTTAAACAGTAAATGTTATATACATATACTATAGTTAGATTCTTGAGACGTTAAACTCACCATTCAACACAGCTGCACCGGCGTCACTCCTCTGAGAAGTCATTGGTGCTATCATCGTCCACTGGTTTCGTTCGAATTTATATTTTTCTGCGGAGCCCAGCCGCTGATGGCCATCTACTCCACCCATTGAGTAAATAATGCCGTCTAACAAAACAACGCTGACATAACATCTACGTTGGTAAATAATAATCAACAATGATAAAGGTAGACATAAATATTAATAATATTTTTGATGTAGGTACACAATTTTGTTTTATATAATTTATTTGTCCATGTATAAAATATATGATTTAATATAAATGTAAATAAAGCTGGCAACAACTGGGTAACGCTCTGAAGTACATTTATAGGTGTCTAGAGAAGTCACTGTACCTAATACATTTGTTAAATGTGAGTTCAATAATATTATAAATAATGACAGAACATTGTGACAGACACTGACACATAAAATAAAATGTTTTATATTTATTTTAAGTTTTTAACAGTTTTAATGCATATTATTTGATACTTTAGACTTAAGTGTATATTTTGATACTTTTTAGCATATTTAGATGTTTTATAAGCATATTATTATACGTTTTATAGGAAATATTAAGAAACATATTTTAAAATTGTATAGAATATATTATATTAAACGATTATAATAATTTATAGTGCATTAGAGTCCGACCTTGAGTCATAAATAATAATTGTATACATAATGTCCACGTGAAATGCTTAAGGTTTACTATATTCACTCGCAGTAGGTACCTATTTCATCGGTTGACAAATTCTAGAGTGGTGCAAACACTGCAAACACACAAACTTATTTGCAGGTTAAATGCAAAAAATGGCGAACGATCTAGGAGTGTTATACAATAAAATAACTATTCCTTTTACAGTTCATCGGCGCTACTTCCTCCCACGTTCTTGTGATCGTGTTGAACTTCCTACAAGAGTTTAAACACTCCAGCCCATCAAAACCTCCAATTATGTATATGTACTCATTTATGACGACCGTGCCATGGTACATTCTCGGCCCTTGAGTGTCTTCTTCGACGAGGGTCCATCGGTCGGATTTTGTGTCGTACGTTTCAATAATCCCAGCCGGACTGTCACCACTCCATCCGCCAATGGCGAATAGCACTTCTGATGGATACCTGGATGGATACTTCAGGGTCTCAATTATGTAAGGCCTACAATCATCCCTGTTTTGTATATAATGGTGGTCCTTGACCTGCAATAATATTAGGTATGAACGATTTGCCACATGATAATTATTAATTAATACACCATGATTGTAATGGGATGATGTGAGGAGACGAGAATGGCCCTTATTTACAGTTACAAGACCATAGCTAGTTTTCTCAAAAAAAAAAAAAAACAATTCCCGTTTCACCAAAAATAAATTATTTTGAAAAACATTTTGTTCTAAATATTGTTTGGGAACCATTTATAATAGTGCAAAAATAGATATTAAATATTAATGAACTATTTAGGTGGATAAAAGCACAAATACTAATTATTATATGGTAAATATAGGTTTATTAACTCTTGTATTTGATGAAAATCATAGGTATAATAATATTATAATTAACTATTGTTAATGCATGTAGTGTTACTTGGCATAGTATATGCATATACAAAATTGAAATTAATATTTTAAACCTTTAGTTTTAAAATTTTTTTAACGGAAACAGTAAACAATATTTTAGTATATGGGAATCCGGAATAACGGACCAGTCACCGGTACCGACCACCGTGTAAAAATTAAAGCATATTATTATCATTACGTTTTTGATGAAATATTTAGAGTCCATGAGGCCAAAACGGACTTTAGGCAGCAGAAACAACAGATCGTTTTTTCGATTTTCAGGGTCCTTGTCCACCCATTTCAGCAGCACGTCCCAGACAAACTCCTCCCGTTTAACGTTCAAATGGTTGTCTTTGATGATTTGTTTAAACTCTTCTTGTCGGAGTTTCATCAGCTCGTAACCTTGTTCTGCAATGGTCATAAATTCATAAATTTATCGTCGAATATCTGGGACCTGACAATTGTGTAACCGTGTTACAATTTGCTGAGTATGTGTACCTAGTAACAAAAAAATCAAATACATCACTACAATCCCACCGAAATATTTGATATTTATATTAATAGGTACCCAAAAATAACATTCTATAGTCTATACTAATAATATTTCATCCGGCAGTTACTATTACTTTGGAGAATTGAAGAATGTGGCATATAAATATATCGTCAAAGAATTTATAACCATTGCAGAACAAGGTGACGAGCTGATGAAACTCCGACAAGAAGAGTTTAAACAAATCATCAAAGACAACCATTTGAACGTTAATTCGACGATAAATTCGTGACAACGTTGCACTAAGCCGTCTATGCACAGATAGTCAGCTGTCCGCATGATATCCATTACGTTTTCACAGCTTATGTCATGTTTGTGTCATGTAAACATACTGTAAAATTAATTCCATCGTAGTATCTTCAATTGATTTCAAATGTATTTTCGTGTATTCTCCTTCGTGTAATATAGTGGTGAAAAGTTTTCTAAAAAACATGTCATGTACAATCAGTGATGTAAATAATTGTATAATACAAAGTGTATAATATTGTATTATACAAGCGTACCTATTATACGTCATGTATAAAAAAATAAAATACAAATGGTATAAAAAAAAAAATCTGTGATATAATAATAAAGAGAAAATATTATAATATGCAATACATAATGTTTCAACTGATAACAGTAATACAACGACGGAGCACGGCCACACGTCAAATACCTAACATGGTTATTGGTATTTGGTAGTCACGATCATAGGAAAGAGATTATAAAAATCAACACCAAAGAACTATTCTAGTCATAGATCTATTAACCTAAGTTCTATGATTCTAGTCGTAAACATTTGTAAATCATTCGTAAATAGTAGTCTGATATCTTACTGATAACTGATAAGTCATAAAACATAATCGTGGACACTAGACCGTAGTAATGTAGTATAATATTCTACTAAATTCGAATAATTCTATTCTATACAAGTTACGATTAATTGAAGTTACTAAACATTAGTTACTATTTCTTTTTACTATGGGTCGACCTTCAAAGCAAAATGCTATCATTGACAAATATTTTACCAAGTATTATGTTGGAAATATTGAAAAACGAAAATGCTTATTTTCTAAATAGGCTTATGGCTTATGCCTATAATTCATTTCGTTTGGAAAATAATTTCTTAATGTGTACAAAAACTGATTCAAAAAAGTAAATAATTACATAGGTACCTACTAAATAAAATTACTGCAAATATTAAAACCTAATATTCAAAACTTAGAACCAATACATTTTCATATATTTTCTATTAGGGAGTTATTAATTTATTACCAGACTGCCATTTCATAATTGAATAGTCAAAATGTTTCTTTATTCATTATTCATCAATAAACCGAAATATTCAATGATCTTACATTATACTCTGCCACTCTGGTAGCCATATATTTAACAATTATCTAAACTCCATACGATTTTTGTAAAATACATGTATAATACACGCATAATACAATTGAAAAATAAAATACGGTATTTTTACATCACTATGTACAATACACGTTTAAAATATTACACTTTTATGTTAATTATTGCCATAAAATAAGCAATCGGACTGTTCATTAACTGACCATAATAAATAATAATGTATTCATTCTAATATTCTACAATACATTATGTATGAAATAATAATGAAAAATACAAAAAAAATAAAACATTTAGGTTTTTCTCTACTACAGAATGAAATTATTCTTAAAAATAGTATTCACAGTAGTGAGTATATCTATAAACGCTATCATATCAATAGGACTTCTTCAAAAACGTTTCAGAAACGTGATAAAAATCTTATAAGTTACAGACACCAGTAAAAGCCTTTCACAGCCAAATCTTGTCAACCATAAAAAATGAAATAATTCAAAAGAAGTAAAATTATTTCAAAAATAACTTAGATAATATTATATTCAAATTATTAAATATTACCTACCTTATTTCTAATTATAGTTCTATACATTTTGTATCATCACTGAGTAGTGAATAGATGCTATAATATTTTATTATAAAACGTTGGCTTTTAATAATTAATGCTAATATCAGTATAAGAGTTTTTAATTATTAGAGTTTTTTTAGATTCTGAGTGGAACAATGAATGTATTGATTTTACAATGATGTGTGTTTTGGATTCTGAATTTAACAATGAATGTATTGATTTTAAAATGATGTGTGGTTTTTTTTTTTGTGTCTGTCATCACGGTTTGGGGTAGTAAAACTGCTTCGATTTTCTTCAACAGTATCTTGTTCGATGGGAAAATGAATCTAGTTGGTATATTCAGGAGGTACAATTTTAAAATTCCCAATAGTTTTCACAAGCGCCGGGAAAAACAACATAAAAATTAAGGAAAAACGGGAATTTTTAAGCAAAATCGGTTTTCCACAAAATAGATTTTTTTTTTGGACCATAACAAATGAACGTATATACATGAAATTGTCATTGTTGTTTTTATTTGAATTTTCTATACATAATAACATTTTCATAATATTTTGATTTGTTTAGAACTGTTTAGGAACATTTTCAATTTTCAATTGTATTAGTTTTTTTTTCTATGAATGTCGATAAAACTTTATAAGTTGAGCAAAAATATCCAAAAAGGCGGTCTGATCCCCCTCAATGTCATAATTGCCAAAAATATGGACACACACGTAATTATTGCCATCACTATCCACGCTGCGTAAAATGCGGATCAGAACACTCAACTAACGAATGCACAAAACAACGGGAGGAACCCGCAAAATGTGCAAATTGTGGTGGAAACCACACCGCAAACTACAAAGGATGCCAATCCCTTAAAAAATTACTAAACCGCACCAAACCTAAAGCTAAAAAAATAAATAAAGAACAGCAACCTATTCCAATACTTGCTATACCGCCTATACCACCTCCATCTCGAAGAAGTGGAAATGAAGCCTCCAGTTCAAACTCAAAAGGAAAACCGTCATACGCCGAAATCGCAGCTAACAGACCACCACCCGATCAATCTCTACACATCATCACCAAATTCCTCGACGAACTAAAATCTATACTTAACCC